GTACGACTACATTAGCTTCATGGAGAAAATGCGAGAAGTGAACAGGAATAATGAGAGTGAGAGTGAGCAATAAAGGTATCATTGAGGTTGATATTTGCGCAGCATTACTGGTGGTTATGGGGGATTTGCACTGACTTGTTGCTGCTGTGTTTCTGGTGTTTTCAGCGACGATTCTCATGTTTTGAACTTCTTTCTAGTTCGTCTTGCATTCTGGGGTTCGGTGGTTGTTCCTCTTTAGCATGTATGTATGTATGTGTTGATGTATGCCTTGCTGTTTGTAATGATCAGGATACCATGTGAACATTTTCAATTATCAGACCATCAGTAGACGTGGCCAAACGAGGATAGCCAAGAGACTCTATTATGACATTAAATTACCAATTCTTCACTGCAATCGAATCTTCGAAGCTATTCTAGTCCGATCTGTAGATGTATGAGGTCGATCATTACCGTATTAGTAAAGTATATATCATGTGACAGTCCCCAGATCATCGGAGCTGATGATGAGTCTGCGACTAATTGTAACCCTTGACACGTCCCACTCCTTTCGATCGTTTTCACTCATACGCTGGTCATAGGTGAATTTCTTGACCGGGCGCTCTCTCTTACGCATATTATTACCCCCCTCAATCGCATCCCTCAACCATACATTCCAAGATGGACCGCAGCTTGGACGAGATCATCGCTGAAGACACGGTAAGGCTCCAGCGACTAATGAAACCACCAAAACGTGCAACTTACTCATTCAATTGCAGCGGAACCCTGGTCGCACTTCAGGCGGTGGTGGTGGTTCTCGTCGTCACAATAACTCCGGCCGTCGTCACGAGCGCGATGGCGTCAGAAAGGTACAGCTTGACTTGAAACCGAAGCTTTCTGCTGGAGTCCCATTTGCATAGCATCGAAGCTAACATCACACTCGGTGTCTAGGTCCGCCCTCCTTTTCCTCCTCTGCGAATTCTCTCCTTGCTCCGTGACAATCGTAGCCAGTCCCCTGGATCGTTGGAGGCTCGCCAACGACCACGCCACGGCAAAGACATGGAAAAGAACTTTGCACGATATCTCATCTGACTTGGAGCTAACGCTAAGTTCCTTCGATAATAACAGCCATACACTTCAGACCGTGTCGATCTTAACCTGTGATTATACCTCCTATCTACTACGGTGTGGATGATACTGACGGGTTTCTGGTTATAGAGACTGGGTGCACGACAAATTCGACGACGACCGATGTATGTGGCTTTCCCGTACTTTGCTGGGACCTATCTAACAGCATTGCTCTCCAGCTCGCCCGTCCCGTGGAGGCCGCAGAGGTCGCGACGGACATGATTCCGATCGGTAGGCTCTCCTTCAGCCATGACTTTTTGGCTTGTCTGACAGAGCGCTAATTGAATTCTTAGCCTTAGCTCACTGACCAAGGTTCGCGTGGATAATCTCCACTACGACATTACTGAAAGCGATCTCGAAGTACGTTTCAATCATACTCAAACCATCACAGAATAACACCCTAATAAGCCCTTTCGCTGAACAGGATCTCTTCGGCCGAATTGGACCCGTCTCTGAACTTACTGTCTCTTACGACCGCGCTGGACGCTCCGAGGGAGTTGCTTTCGTCACATATGCCCGCCTGAAGGATGCACACCTCTCCATTCAGGAGTACGACGGAGCCAACGCTAAGGGCCAGCCCATTCGTCTTTCTCTCATCCCCGGCCGCCGTGAACGTAACCCCCTCGAGTCCGCACAGCGCCCTAGGTCCAGCCTTTTGGACCGCGTAGAGCGCCCCCGCGACGACCGTAGCATGAGCCCCGAGGACAGCGACCGACGCCGCCGTGGCGGTCGTGCTCATCGCAGCGACGTCACTAAGCCCGCCCCAGACAACATCGACCGTTACGTTCCCGGACAACGCTCCAATCAGCGCTCTCCCAACCGCCGCGGCGGAGGCAGACGTGGTGGTGGACGCGACAACCGCTCCCAACAGACCGAAGGATCCAACCGCCGATCCAATGCCCGTCCGCGCAAGACCCAGGAGGAGTTGGACCAGGAGATGGAAGATTACTGGGGTAGTGCGAACAACGGCGGTGGTGAAGCTGCTGCACCCGCTCAGGACGCCCCTCAGCAGACTGCTCCGGCCCCTAGCGCACCCGCTGCCGACGATGATATCGATATGATTGAGTAATACCTCACGGTCACTCGAACTACAATAAACTCGCTTGTCTTTCGCATTTCAGATTTTGGGACCTCTATCCTTGCTTTTGGACTTTTCTATGAATTCGGACCACCTTGGCCTTTTTCCAACTCTTCTCTTCTCTCTTTCCATCGCTGAGGCTTTTCGGCATGAGGGCTGAAACTCTGTACTTTACCTCAACCACCAAATTGTAACTCGGTCTATTTCACACATTCGGCTTTCTACTGCTTTGGTTTACTCTTGATGAACCATTATCCTTGCCCTTGCTCTCGTTGCATCCACACTGGCGAACTGGGAGCTCATTATATAGTCTTTTGGTTTTTTTTTGCATTGTTCGGTGTCTTCGTTCTTGTCTTTATATAGTCTAGTCGTGGGTAAACCCCGACTCGTGTACGTCAAAAGTCTGCATATAAAGAGCAGGAGGCTGTTCGCAACCAATGGATGATGCCAAGATACAACTCGATAGAGCATAAATCCAATCAAGGCCGCACCGCCAATTATAAATAGAACAAAGACCGCAAACGAAAAAAAGAAGATATGGTATTCTTCCGTAAAGTCTTCTACATTGTAACAATTATGACAAGCAAGTTCACTTCCACAGCCCATAGGGTTCGCGGCATGCTTTCCATAACTTGATAGTACCGTCTTCACTGCCAGTGCCGTAGAGCTTGCCATCGGGTGAGAAGCTGACAGACCAGATAGGGCCATGGTGACCCTTTTGAACCTCTGCAAAAAAAAGTTAGCTCGGCTTTAACGTCAAAAAAAAGCATAGGAAGCAAAACATACCTAGCTCCTCGTCCGTGTTCAAATCATAAACTCTTGCCCAGGTATCATTCGCACTGCCCGTCACCAGACGACCAGACTCGCTATTAACGGCAGCACTAGCAACATCATAGTCATAATCCGCCTTTTTCAGCAACCGACCAGGCTGCACGCCATCAAAGAGATAGACACTCTTCCCAGCAGCGACAGTCAAAATCCCCGCATCATTAGGTCTCGTCGCCAGACTATTCAGCTCGCAAGAGCCAATCGTGCCATCAACCACATACTCAACGATCGGGTCACGCGAGCGCAGATCCCACCAGCGGATCTTGCGGTCTTCCGCCGCAGTAGTGATGACATTGTAGTCTTGGTTCCAGACAATAGACTTGATCGTGCCGCCGTGCACGCCGGCGCCGATCTCGTAGCTCGCCACGCCATTCTCGGTGGCCGGAGTGGCAGAGGATGGGGGAGGCGGCGTTGAGCCCGTGCTGGAACTGCCGCCCCGCGTTAGATCGAAGATTCGTAGCTTCTTCTCTGCGCCGCCTGTCGCGAGGACTTGCGGGTTCGCTTGGATTGGGAATGCTACTGCACGCACGATGTGTGCGTGTTGCAGTGTGTGCAGGCATTCGCCTGTGTAGGTGTCCCAGACCTTGCTATTTCGGGGGTTGGGGTTAGTTTATCGTTGTGGGAGGTGGGTTGGGGGGATTTTGCTTACGCTGAGAAATCGGCGGCTGCTGTTGCTGAGATGGCGGCGTCGGCGGAGAGCCTTGCTTGCCATACGGCGCCTTTGTGGCCGAGGAATGTTCCAATCCTGGGTTTGATGTTAGTGGGTGCTTTATGAGTTTGATTTCATTTGCCGTACCAGTCTCCCGTTATGCCATCACGGAGCATGGGGTTATTATCTTTAGTCGGTTAGTGACTACCCGGTAACTGGTGAGAATCATTGGTTTTTCTTACCTTTGCATGAAGAGATAAAGTAATATTGCTCGTCTTCGACGGTGGAAGAGAAGCTCAGATGCGTCACCGGACGAGAATGCCCGTGGCAAGTCAGAGGGACTACCTTGGGGATATCTGTTGAAGATTTATCAGCAAACATATCAAGACAGTGATTTTCTATTCCATTTTACACAAATCACTCACCGGCAGTCATTTTGTCGGTGTTGAAGGAAGTTCCGAGGTTTCAGTGGTTTTGATGTTAGGTATTAGAACAATCAGATCAGCGAAGCGCTATGTGCCCAACCGAGAGCCCACGAGTTGATATCAAGATGAAAATCTAGGTAGTAGACCGAGAGAGAGTTCAATATGTCTAAGGAAGGTACATAAGAGATTCGTCAGTGTCGTCAAGTCATCAAACAGATATGTGGGGTTCGAGAAAGAGCCGATGACAAAGGATCGAAAGTGGATTGGACAAGAATTTTTCCAACCAGACACCTGAAAAGGAGAGAAGGCCTCTGGGAATATGAAACTCCTTTGGGGTGTAGATGGGATATCGAATTTCAATTTCAAACAATAACGGGCAGCCCTGGAGATCACCTATTAGGTAAGGCATGCGCTAATCTAATTCGGGTAGAATCTGGACACGTGACATGTTATTTGTAAGTGGTAGCGACAGTTGACGGCAAAGTATTCTAATTAGACATTGACAGACATCTAAAAGGAGACAGAAAAGATTGTAGGAAAGCTTCTAAAAGATAATTGAAAAGATAACTGAAAAGATTACTCTACATAACAATGACGGTGAATGAGAGGCCAGAAAAAGGCCGCCTTTCTCTCCACTTTAACTTTTACGCAAGGACTATTCAATAAAGAAACAGCGAAGTTGATTCAAATACCTAGATAGATAGATAGAGAGAGAAGAAGCAAGCAAACATGTGTCAACGATCCATAGCGTCATATGACAGACAATCATGCAGATCGTGGCAAGAAAAAGGAAAGAACAAGGTAAGCATAATTGGCCCAGCAGAAATCCCTATGAGGTCAATGATCCGTGGAGTCACATGGTAGAAAATCAAGCTGATCGCGACAAGTATGTCTGCAAAAGCAGGAGTCGGAAGAATTACTCAACAGAGCGATCCAGGTCTTCATCGCTCAAATACCCACGCCGAAGCCTTGTAGGCGACATGGATTGGCTCGCTCTGGGTGGCTTGTTTTCGCCGGTCATTCTGACAGGCGAGAGTGAGAGAGTCGGCGCCCTAGGAAGCCTGGATTCGCGCAAATTTCTTGTCTGTGCGAGAGAAAGAGTTGGCATACTGGGAGGTTTGCTTTGAGGCGAATCTGTTGCGGGCGAGGGAGATGGACGGGATGTCCGGATGGCTATTCTCCGGTGGAAACTCGGTGCTACTTCGACCGGAGCTCGTGATCTCGAAAGGACACAAACTGAATCATCATCGGAGTCAATCTCACTCTCATCATCCTCAGCGGCTCCGCGCGTCGCCGCAATCCGATGGAGAATCCACTGCAACTCCAACAGCTCCATCGATGGGAGCGGCTTGCTCTTTGGATCATCGGTCCTCAAGGTAAAAATCTGCCCAGACCGTACTATGGATCTTGTCTCACCATGAATGAGACAGATATTTTCGCCTGGGCTTTCTGTAAAGCTGTTGATATCATGAGGGAATGGGTGCTGCATTGTCTCGATATGGTCAGAAGCTGTACTCGTGATTTTTCCAGGAGCAGAGAGCCAGTGAAAAGCAACTTCTATCGATGTCTTCTTCGTGTTGATCGAGATAGGACGGAGAGCACATAACGCATCATCCCAGTAGGTATGAACTAGGGCGTTGAAGGTGATGAGATTCTGCACTTGCTCAGTATCCACTTTGGCATCATCATCATCATCAGCGCTAGTCATTATTTCCACTTTCCACTTCGTCACTCGGTCCGCGCCCCAGAATGCTTCTAATACAGACCATTCCATTTCTCGAGAGCTGTTGTTTAGCTTGAATGGGAGGATGTGAGATACATGTAACCCATGTATACCGAACTTGGTGAGAACACATGCATTCCTGTCTCGAGCCAAGGCCTAAAGATTTAAAGTTAGCATTATATCTGATAGATCCTTTTTTACGGTTAACATACCGCATCCCTAGCCGCTTTACTGTGTGGCGAAACTCCACGTGTAGCTTGTTCCGACGAACCCGTTGGTTGCTCACCAGACGAATTCACAGTCAGGCCCCTTGGCGCTTTCCAGGAGACGAAGACTCGCCTACGGGCACATCGTCGGCCTCGCACTTTCGCCCCTTTGCTGGTTTCTCTGTTTTTTCGGGTTTGGGCTGTTTCCTGCCCGCCCCTGTTAATCATCGAATGGTCAGTTTAGTATCATAGAGGTCATGTTCGGTGTACTTACACTGCCCAGGCACGTCAATGTTATCGAGCAAAAAGTGAGTCTTCACAGCTGTCTTCATATCCTTATCGGGATTCTCTGTCACAAACCATCTGAGTCTGTCGATATCGCTAAACCACAACATGAAGAACATATGGCGAGTCATTCGGCGTAGTCAAGGGTAGAGACGTATCATCGTCTCGACCAGGCTTCGGCGTTCCGGATCTTGGAACTCATCAAAAATAGTGACTGTATCATATTTTGGCTCAGTTGGTTGATCCATGATGGACAAAAAAAGATTCTAAGATGATAGCAACGATATACTTGATACTGTTGCGTGGTTGGGGGAAAGGAAGAAAATAGTGGGACCAAGTGGGATCAGGACAGTACGAATATGGAATTCTGTCACATCTCCGCCACCCGATCAGGAAGGCGATACTGGAAGTTCAACAGCAACAAGAAAGTAAGCAAGTAAGGCGCCAGATGGATCTCGAAGAAGAAAGAGTACACTCAACTAGATAACTAAGATGGGGAGAAGGAAAGAAGAAGCAAGTGCAAAGTGGAAGGCAGCCAGTTTATATAGCTGATCACTTTGCAAACGTTGCAAACAATCTAATAGTAAGCGAGCAAGCAAACGAGCAAGCAAGCAAACATGAAGCATATGATGAAGAGATAGTAGATCTTGACACAAGCAGGCAAGCAACCACCAAACAATAGTGCTCTCCAACATCAAATAAGCATGTACTAGTAATCTCGACGGCCTAAGGCCTCCACATAGTCGTTACAGAGCGAAGCGACTGATTCTAACCTCTAAGGCTACGTAAAGTCTCCCTTTTGAGGGCTGGCCTATCGATATCGGTGCCTAAGGCGTATTAGCACGTGAAGGGATATAGAAATATATCGTCTAGCCAGATTAAAGGAGGCCAGAAACGGCCGCATTTCACGCCGTTCCAAGCAAGTATACCTGTGCCCAAGTATCTCCGGCTCAGTCTATCTCTCTTACAGATTTGTATTTCCTCAATCCGGAAATCGACGCGAACTGTACTAACCTCGATCTTGACGAGGCATATTTTGTCAAGGCCGTTGGTTCAATCACCAGCTACCCAACTTACACGGTGACTGGTTATCTGTTGGCATTTGATTGAAGTGACAGGAGTATTTTGTATGAGACAATGGAGTTGAATTCTCCTAATGAGCGAAGAATTAAAAATTGTCAGTCTTGTAACCGAGTCGACTAATGTAGACACCAAATGCCAAGACTCGGAATGTAGCCGAACCGTGGAACCTGCAATTGCTCCGCTCCTTAAATCCACTTCGCTTCCCGACCCCGACCTCTCCGCTAACTCAGACAGGTACAAGTGTTTTAGTCTGGAAACCTGCAGATTTGTGAAACTAGAGCGTTTGAGAGAAGAATTTTATCTTCACTTTCAAACCCTGCATCTGTGGAACCTGTTTACCCCTGGACCGTACCCAACTCCCTGACATACCGAGCTTTCTGTTTTTCTCTCTCTTCCCTGTCACTTCATAACAAGAGCCCCGGGCCCTTCATCCTAAAAGTTACCAGATCCATGATTACCAGAAGAGTTCCTCGAATTTCATATTTTCCTCGCATCTACAGCCAATATGCCTGGGTTCTCTACTCTCATCAACAACACTTCACGTACTTCACGTCTCGCTAAGTCCTCCCCGCCGCATCTCAGTAACACAACTACCTTTTCAAGAACAATATCTACTCCCTCGAAACGCGATCCATGTCATGACTCATTATACATCAACATCTTACCTGCCTTACTGGATTTGCTGTTGCTGTTGCTGCAAGCGAACCAGCAACCGGGAGAAGTAAGAGACATTTGTGTTGATAAGTGATAAAAAGGCTGCCAAACAGGTCTAAATCGTTTCAATCAAACAGATGTAGCTTGATGTTAGGTTGGCTGGTAAAATTCGGCCCCGGTTGATAAGGCCATGGTGAACCTCCAAACTTGGATTACACCTCATTTCAATACTAGACTAGGTCCGAGTCGGCTCTTATGGACAAAGTGCGTGAGGCACAAGCTGCGCCAAAAGCCTGCTTATCTTTGTTGGATATGGCTCCAACTATACGGCCTAGCTAATGTATTGCGTTGTAAGGTTTTGGACAATCTATCTCAACTGCAAGCAATTGCCGTTTGGCCCTCCCAGCTTCAGCCAATACAAACAACATCTTTACCACAATAAGGAGTTTTCAAAAATCGGCAAAACCTGCTTTATGCTACATGCCATGTAATTCAAGGTATAGTTGTTGGACAAGCGTAATGACTGCTTATTTGTAATTGAATTGGTATCAACCAATCATAAAAGAATGTAATTTCGGTTTGGCTACGGATGTAGATATTCGATCTGACCTGTTTTAATGTATTATACAACAAAACCGGTTTGTAACCTCAATGGCGACCAAATCAACTCATTCGTCTGGTTGCCCAGATGATTGACCTCCCTTTCGACCTGCTTCCTTGGCTCTCTCATCGCCAGGCTGGAAGCTTCCACTTGAAGCATGACCACCCTTCGAGGCAATGTCCTTCTGTATACTGGACTTAGCTAAAGTGGTATGACGGTTATGAGTGCTTTTACTAACCTGCCTGTCGGCTTCCATCGAAGCAAATCCACCTTGGTTGCTAGTCTGCCCACCCTTCCGAGCAATATTCTCGACCTCTTCATGAGGTCTGTTGGCGAAGTTACCGGGGTTGGGGTTGTCGGTCATTGTGATAAGTACAAGATATTGAAGTGGTGGAGAGAATATGTAGTAGTATGTGATTGAGTTTCAGAGCAAAAATATTGCTGGGAGGTTGGTTGTGTATGTATTTATACGTGGTGCCAGTTTCCATCTGCATCATGGGTAAGCCTTTCTGAGGCTTTCTTGACGTCGATTGACGTTGTCGCCAAAGACATAATGAAATCATTATGATGATAATTATTGTTTTAATAATATTGGGGTCACTTTTTGAACTTGGACTGATATACTGAGCTCGTATTCAAGTTTAAGGGTAAAACGTTATTTCCATGACGTCACTGCGATAGTTAGAGATCGTGTTGAGCTTTCCAGAAGCCAGCCGGGGAACAAGACAGGAAGATATGACAATATTTGCATTATCTGCAAAAATGTAAGCAATTCATTGTTAAGAGAATGGGGTTTTCAGACTGTCTACAACTCGTATTCACGGTTCATCTCCAGCGTGTAAGTAAAGGTATTTAGTGGCCCAACGCCGGGCCGATAGGGTTAGTCGCCATGGCATATAATAATCCTAGCAGCTTAAAGCTGCCGTGCTCTCAATCCCATCAGTAGAAGCAAATGGTGCTTGATGCTAGGGGCACCTGAGGCCCGCGTCCACAGTTCCTTTCCTATTCAGGATAAAATTGAGTTCCCACAGCTATACAACTTCCACGATCCTCTTATATGAAATATGAAGCAATAATTACAAACGACGGAGATGCGTTATTGTTTTCTAAGCCAATCCGTGCTATCAACAATCACTAACGAAGCGCTCGACTAGAAGAGAAGGAGCGGAGCGACTTTTAAAGTAGATAAAACAGCTATTATATACTTTACTCCTAAGGCTCACAAATTAGTCCAGGGGCTTATCAATATTAAGGGACAAACTGCTAAGCCTAAGGACCATATTAAGATCTTAGACGTTCTTATAGACATAAAACTTAAGTACAAGGAATATATTGCAAGGGCAGCATCTAAGAGCCTAGAGGCTGCGATAGAGCTTCGATAACTTCGGAGTTTATCCCCAACGATAACGCGGCAGCTATTTATATCGATAGTAGCGCCGGTCGTAGACTACATTTCCAATGTCTAGATACACGTATATAAGGATAAGGCCATAGGGCCGATGAACCGTGTCTAGAGGCTGGGGGCGTAGGCGATTATAGGAACATTCCTCACAGTTGCGACCAGTATAGCAGAGGCAGAGGCCCACCTTGCCACTGTTCAATACCGCTTCTAGAGATAAGCCGTGAAGATGTGGACGAACATACATACCCTATCAGAAACCAACCCTCTTCGCAGGAATACAGCATGGATCAAGAAATTCACATTGCCTAAGGTGAAGTGGAGGCCCTCATTAAACTGAGTCGCGACGATTCACAGTCCTTGTATACGCTGAGGCCAGTTCAACAATACGTTTATGCGCTGGCTTTCTCTTACAATGCGAACTCTGTTATCCTACTACCCTTAAGCTGAGTCCACCTTTTCACATAAGTACAGGGCTCGCCGTAGATCACCATTTCTCCATCAAGTCACTACTGCCAATCTCAACAATTGACTGACTGTCTGATTGCTATTCGGTCGGCTGAACCAAAAAGGATAATTCCAAACATTGTTTGACGGCAAACTTGGGGTGAATAGTACAATTCTTGTTTCGTATATTGCTTCTATCTCGCAGCTTTATTCATCTCCTGTTTATTCTATCTCATTCTCTAAGTCTCTCAATGACCTATCCCCTCTGCCATATTGATACCGACCACAATCACATAGCAAGTACAAGTCGCATTGCCTCCGAGCAGATCCGCCAGTTACACAGTCTGAAAAGACTTCGAATCAAGTGCCACGGCCAAGCTGTCGCTAGCTAGCTTGCACGGCTCTACCTGGTCATGTGTACATTACCAACCGCACCTCCGCTGCTCAGTCCATAAGGCCAACAAGACCCAGCCTTCATCTTTGGCAGAATGCTCAGGCATCGAACTATGGTGAGAATTCACACAAACTCAGCTCCAGTGCCGGCAGAGATTCCGATAAAATAAATACGAAATTGGTTTGGGAACGTATTTACTGAACCCGGGAGCCATTGCACCCCTAGGGCCGTATCTCTGAATCCTGAAGTCAATCTTCTGCCTCCCAGGGTAGGTTATTAACTCACCAAAAAACCCCACCAGACCTACGCACAAATATTAGTCACTCACTTACTCCTGGAGAGGCTAGCCATAGCCCCAGGAATCGCACTCGAGGTTCCAGGAATTGAAAAGACTACTATCAGAGATATACATGAAGCATACAAGACGGATAGAGATGATCTTCGCGGGACCCACATGGTGTAATACAATGTATTGAAGAGGGAACCCTGGGATAGAGCAGAGTCGTCACTGGGAGTAGTAGGGTGCTAGAGAGGGGAACACCATGGGGTGACTACTGAGAAGAGAAGGTAGAAAGGTGTCTGCGTTGCTATCTAATAGCCGCTTAATCATCCTGCTCTGGAAACCCCCACTGCAGTATATGGGTTCCCCTGAACGCGAGGAAACTACCTTTATTTTACTTCTTCGCGCTACGTCTTGTATCTAGAGTCGATTATAGCTTTCTTTAATATTGAACTACTCACCTGAATACGCTGTCCTCATCAACGGATACGTGAGACTCTCACAGGGAGCAACAGAGCTTCTAGGGCCAAGATGTGCCTTACCAGGGCTGATAAAGCTGTCAAGAGGAACGTAACTGGGTTTCTCATAGTGATGGTGGATAATCGTACATGTCCTGAGGCTATACTATTTCTGGAGTCACTATTTTGGATTCTTTGAAAACATCAAGTTTGATGTATGTTTATACATCAGATCACTGGCCCACAACCCCGGGAAATGAGTCCAATCTCTTGGGAATTAGTAGATCCACCGTTGGACATCATATTTTGGACATTCTTTTCTTGGGTGTGTCCAAAACCTCCCAATTACACGGTAATTAGTCGGAAGGTATTTCCTACACATAATAAAGTCTGTAAATACCATAACCTGATTGTATTTGGACTCTGGTCATTGATTTTGGACGCCTAGGGGTGTCCAACACTGCACTCTGGCGAGGTCTAGAAATGAGTAAGCAGACCGGCTCCTGAGAATATGTATCAAGTTCACCAGCTATTATTAGAGCATCTTTCTTCCTCCAATGAAACCGTCACCTCCCAAGCCCCAACCCTGCGTCCAGCCAGTTGGGGTCTTTCTTGCTTCCCGGATTTTCCAGAATAGCGATCCCTAGCAATTGTAAGCTAAATCGTATCGATCACCAGTTCAAATAGGTTGCCATACATCATATACCGCTCGTAGATCCTCCCTGTATACTTTACTGTCCTGTTGGATCAAAAGCCAAGTTGTTCCCCACTCAAAAAGGGCTGCAAACCACTGCATAAAGATTAGCGTAGAGTCAAACTTTACTACCTATATTAAGACTTACCCCGAAAGGATCAGCGGCGCATCTGTGGCCATGCATTAGTTGGAAAAGCTCACTAAGTGTTATGGCTCCATCATCATCTTTATCCCATTTCGAGAATATATTTTCGAAGAGTTGCGGTATGAAACGGCCCTCTGGATCGTAGATGCCACTGTCCGAACCGTGCTGATAGGTGGTTTAGCTTCAACGTTGCCTTCAAATTGCCACTTTTCGGAGTATTCACCTTAGCTTTATGAATACTTGTTATATAAATACGGAACCATGGGTCAGGCAACCACGAATATGCTAGGCGTGTGGGGTAGGAGAAGTTGACGTTGATGATGAAGGTCGCAATCATCGAGAAGAAAAGGTTGAAGCCTAGCTCACGAAACCCATTGTAGGTATCCCAGGGGTAAATCATCCCGTCGCCATCGCGATCCCAGAAGAGGATGTGCTGCTGAAGGGGCGACTATGTATATTCAGCATCAGCAGTGGACCTTCAGGGCATCATTGTTCTTATACATACATAACCGTCACATTTTCTGGCCCATCCAAGGTCGCCCTCAGGTTTATCCACAGACACCGCTGCGTTAGCTCGTGCAACACCAGGGTTTTCTATGACGTTGGCGAGGGAGACTGCTGGGAGACGCTTGCTGGTGATGTAGCTCTTCTCGGCAATTGCCACAGTCTCATTGTTCTCTTCCACAGCCTTGATATATGGCTTTCTCTCGCGGGTTTCTATGGTACGTGTGGACATGACGAGAGGTTGAAATATTTTAGAAAGATAGTCAACTAAATCAATCTGATTCACAATTTGGAATAAGCCTGTATTTATTCCCCTACATATAATTACGTAGGTCGCATGTGAAACTAGCCTGCCCACATAGTTAGTAAAGTACAACCACGTGACGTCATTACGCTATATTATCTGGCCAACCAGAAGCCAGGGATTGACAAGGAAGGTTTTCATATTTCGAGGTACAAAAGACATCTGCAAGGAATAGTTACGGGTGGAGCTAGACCGTGGGGACAGGGGTCCTTGGAAAAACCGGGAAATGGGAGCTTACCCGCTTTCGAGCTCCACGATACGCATGATGCCTTCATCGATATGGTTTTGTACGTTCAAATGAGCGCCGATATAAGGTCCAGGAAATGTATATTCATTTTTCCAGCCTTTCCCGATTGACGTCAATCGTGAGATTCATGAGGTTGTTGAGCAGTCCATGCAATCTGTTCAAGTCGCATGATATTGATATGCAACCCCCGTGTACAATATTACGCGTAATTAGAGTGAAACTGCATTGCACTAAACAGTTCATGGTTATCATTCATCCTTTCCGTTCTACCTATCCTACTCGACAATGCTGACCAGTTACGTACGACCAAACAATTAGACCATTAGGCATTCGCGCCATACAGTAAGCTTGTAGCACTCGACATAAAATACATAAAATACAAGGCCCATAATAATAACCTAAGCAAGAACATACTGACTGCTTTCATTTATCTCTTGTGTGTGTCGTTGATTTCTAGGGTGCTGGGGTTGTGTGCCACCATTTTACCATTCTTGTTCTCGAAGCGCACCTGTTCAAAGGCAGAAGGCCCTTAGCATGATTCATCTAATCACATCCAGGATCATATCGGTCTACTTACTTTTGGCGGATTTTTCACATCAACCTCTTCCGCTCTTTTTTGGTCCATGACTATCTCTTCCACCTAAACATATGAGCAATTAGCACACTATATAAGCCCAACAAATTGACAACAAGTTGCCATGATTTACAAACATGTCCTTCATGCGTTCCGCCGCGGATTTTGGTACCAACATAATCGCCAGGGTTAATAACATTCTCGTGTTTGTCGGTAACTTTATTGTCACCCATGATGTTCAGTGTTTCCGTATCCGATGGAAGGATGTGACAAGTCGAATTGAACCTACAAGATACTAGGTATCAATATCATGGAATCTCGTTACATATATTCGTTTGAGCGAGGGTTGCATTGTATCGAGTCACGATGACCTCATATATACCTCATTCATCTATCTAATCTGGCTGCTGCAACTTGATAGTCCTCATCAAGCTCCAATGACCTAGAGTAAACTATATTAGTCTCTGGAAAAGACAATTTTTAACTAGTTTTATTTTTCTAGCAAATTTAGCGAATTAATGTTTAATATAACAAGTAATGAAGTCTTTCGAACTGCGATACCAGAGAGGCTAGCTGATCTTGTGATATAAGCGGATTGATTAAGCGCGTCCATTCCAACGTCCGCAAAGTCTGGACTTGACATATAAAACCTGTCATCGCACTGTTCTTGGCCGAAGTTAGTTTCTTCCTTGCTGGATGTTCAGAAACCTGCAAAACTTCGAACAACGCCAACCTTTTCTCAGTACTCCCCGCGGTGCCCATATGTATGGTGTTGTGGCAAGGTTTACACACGAGTCACCATATTACATCTCACAATACGTCAGGAAAAATGTACTTCACTCAGGAAACTGCTTGTTGGGCGTATTTAACTGTGGAACTGCAGTTGACATCACGGAAACTTGTATGATGGTTGATGAAGAAGCAGTCCATAACTTGATACAAGATATGGGCCTGTACTGCGGAGGCTGATGCCTAAAGCATGAGGCACCATTGTGTGGTGCGTGGGGACTTGTAAACATACCGCATGACTATTTCGTACCAAAACGGGATGATCTAATCAAAGATACCGTAACTACATTTCCAGACCAAACAGCATTTATATAAGCCTAAACTAGGGGGGCATCAACGTGAGCATTGACCGCGTGACCAACGTGAGGTCTTAGGGGGCCCACATGACCTGATTTCTGTGGGGCCCCAGACTTTGGACTGTGCAGCCCCATGGGTCGGTCATGTGACCAGAAAACCTCCATTGTCTACGGCTGCTTCTCTGGAGAGGCAGCTATTAGTTCACATACAACCTCCATTGTATATTGCTATCTCTATTTCCCGACCCGCCCATTATCCCCAAGTATCCATTGCCGCCTTTACCAGAAATTTCAACAACGGGTCGAATCAAGCCATGGGGCACAAACGAGGCTTCAACCAGGTCACATCTTCCCCTTCCGCGTAACGAGCGGCTCGTCAAACCGAGGCTGCGAAAGGCCAAAACAACCATTCTAAACGCCATGACGCACAATTATGCACCCAGCGATGTTCATTTCCGCTCCAGACCGGCGGAATCCTAGACAACGTTTGCCCAAACGTGAAGCTCCATCTTCGGGGTCAGAATTTCATCGAGGCTCGTTTTCACGAGAAGCGCTGGGCCGTTGCCGTGCGCCAGTCTATCTGTATAATACATGGCGGTTTACTTGTACCGTTCATTTGCGGCATTAAGCGACCTGGAGAGTCTTCACTATAACTCAATTATATAATATGATATTGAGGTTTTGTGGAGTGGCGGTTAGTATTGTTGAAGGCCACTCTACAGGCTTTTAGGGCGATTCTACGTTAAAAACTGTCCTGAATGATATCGTCGGCGCACAAAACGGTATATATATTGATGTGATAGCTCTAAAGATGCCCCAAGCTCTGCGTGAAGCTGATACTCAGTGCCTACACACTTGGCCTAGGCTATCACCAACTTGAACGTCAGTCATGATCTGCTGACAGCTGAGCCTTTCTAGGTCCGGGTCAAATTGAATACGCCCTTTTGAAAATGCTACCAATATACTTGAGCCGCCGAACTGAAATAGGCCAATCTCCTCACCCTTTCTGACATGATAACCGTTCGTTTGTAATTCATCGTGGATCCTATCATCAATCAGTTCCTGAAAAAGCATCCTAGTGTTGTAAAACTTACTTCACTGTCCCTACATCTGTAGCCCCAATTGCTACAAAAAGAACATTGCCGAAGACCTCACTTTCAATGCAGAGGCAAGATCTTGCATTCTCGGTCAAAATATTAACCGAACTATGCAAAGCCACCGGGTCGACCTGGAAGTAATCCCCCCGAATGTGTTTGTACCATTTCACTTTCCCCTCAACAGGCGAATGGTACCGATGGTAGTCTTGCGGGCTAAGGCGAAAACTTGCAACAGCACCATTATCCCATGTGTCTGCAAGTTGATCATCTAAAATCAAGTTTGCGATCGTAAAGTCGCTGCCTTTCACCCACAATGCCTTGGCCTTCTCAACAGTCGGATATACGACCACTCGGGAGTCGGCCGCAACGACAGCTTTGGATGGCTCCGTTTCGGCGTATATGGGCCTCGCATTCTGACTATGCTTCCGAGTAAAGAAATCTTCGAATGTAGGGTAGCTCTCGGGATCAGAGGGCTCGAATTCAGACATGTCGATTCCATAGAATTCAATGAAGCCTTTAATTTGCCAATGGGACTTCGATTTGCCCTCTCGGCGTCCTAAAGTGAGTAGCATAAGCATTTTGTTGAAACCTTGCGGATAAGGAAGATCCAGTTATTCTGAATGAATATAAAGGTCATGCACTCACCTGCAGCGACGTTTTTCTCATGCGTCCAAAGGCGCAGAAGATGGGTCTGGTCAATCCATTCCATTATCGGATTAAACAACAGCAGGAGCTTGAACTTCTTCCATATTGTCTGCTGTTCGCGTCTGTATGTTCCAGTCTTCCGGTCGACTGTTAGCCAGCCCACTTCACGGTTTTGTACTAGCTTCAAGAAATGGAGGGCAGCATTTAGAAACCGGTGAATAGAGCTCGCTATACCTAGCATCCTGGGTAACAGAGAAATCAATGTTGCGCTATACCAGGTAAATTCCCCCGATTTTTTACTGCAACAAGTTTGGCAAGAAGTTTTAAAATACCAAATCGGGTGGCCACAAACGTGATTATGATGGTGAAACGACAGGGGAAATTATATGCTTGAACACCCTCGAACGTGCTTGCGTCATTAGTAGGTCATTCACGTCACAGGTATTGCCGAACGCAGGTTTTGGATGACACCGTGGGTAGACTCATATTATCCGAAATTCAGGATAATTACTCCTAGGGAATTGACCGCCACACTTCCATAAAGTCACATACCCCCCACATATTCACATAAGCTGCAACCGGGCTTCTTCTCAATTTCCACCTTCAACGTAGCTGATAAAGCAATCAAAAAGTTTGTTGATGACCCCCAGGCCCGATAGGCGTCTGCCCAGTCTCCTCTACGTTCTTTCTCTCGGCCTCTGCAAACTTACCAGGATTTTTTTTTTGATTGTACATGTGTTTGTTCCCCTCCATCAGTTTTGATGCTGAGGTCCGTCTTATTCGAAGAGGATATTGGGGATTGAGTAGCTCGCTATAGGGGTATCGAAATGTCGATCTTCTAAGCCTCGAGGTCTTAGATGGCTTGCTTTTTTTGGTAACCAGGTTGCTAGCACACTTTGGATGGTGGCAGAGATGGCATAGAATTTCGCCAACAGAGTTGACCTGGATATTCTGTTAGCTAAAAAAAAAATAATATTTTTAACAACCAAATAATCTTACACAACGTGTTTCCGCGTCGAAGTGAATGTGACACGGAAATTCGCAGTTCCGTACGATACGCTCAGGGCCATTGTCTACAGCTGCTTCTCTGGAGAGGCAGCTATTAGTTCACATACAACCACCCTTGTATACTGCTATCTCTATTTCCCGATCCACCATTTTCCCAAAGTATCCTTAGGCAACTGCGCCTAAGGGTCTTACAATAGTGTACTTATAGAGTATAGTCTTACCCTAGTTTAGTATATCGATGGCAGGCTGGATGGCAACGATCTAGATCGTTATATGAGCAGGCAAGGACCAAGCAGGCAAGCACACAATAAATAAGCATATATCAACCATCTGTATAGTAATATGATAGACAATCATGGGTAGGTGATAGCTCTGCTCCTTATAAGTAAATGATGGGCAAGAATATGATGGGAGGCCAAATAATCTCATGTGTTGATTCCTATGGGGCGAGACGGGGATATCTTTGACTTCTCACCGTCCTTTCATTGCAGTTACATTCGAATGTTGATCAAGTTGAAATGTTTGTTTGTTGTTCCATAACGAGGAAAGGAACCAAAATGGGGTTTGTGCATCTTCTATATTGATGTAATACTTAGATTAGAACCTTCCAACTGGAGGAGAGATGACTGTCCACTATGTTGTAGATGATTCCAAGCTTGCCAACGGATTCACTAGTATGATATGATAGATGAATGAGTCACCTGAGCATGTCCTTACCTAGACCTCGTGTTCTAGCAGGTTCCCCAAATGGCGTTACCGCCCACGTGATATGACCATTGATGCTTCGGCGGGGCGATCCCCCGGAACGACTAAAGGACAACAACATCCAGGGGAGCTTGATTGATCGTTAATTCTGCGGTGATACCCTTGAATTATTTCTTCTTTGGATTCTTCTTTCTTCACGATTTCTTCCCTCAAAGTTTTATGTATGCCTGACTTCAAGCTCTCCGCAACTTTGGAGGGCCACGGCGATGATGTAAGGCTCCTGGTCCCGGCGTCTGTACCGACGCCATTGACCGCACCTCCAATTACTCACATTATTTTGGCCTAATCTAGGTTCGCGCTGTGGTCTTCCCAAATCCAAATGTCGTCCTTTCGGCCTCTCGTGATGCAACAGTTCGGCTCTGGAAGCTCGTCTCCACTTCACCTCCCGCATACGACTATACCATCGCTGCACATGGCGGCGCTTTCATCAACAGCTTAGCCTACATTCCCCCCACACCCGAGTTCCCAGAGGGCCTTGTACTTTCGGCTGGAAAAGACGCAATAATTGAAGCCAGGCAGCCTAGTAAGAGTGCAGAAGATAATGCAGATGCTATGCTCCTAGGTCACGGCCACAATGTCTGTTCTCTAGATGTGTCTCCGGATGGCAAATGGGTTGTTAGTGGCAGCTGGGATTCCACGGCCCGTCTATGGAAGGTCGGCAAATGGGAGTGTGATGTCGTACTGGAGGGGCATGAGGCAAGCGTCTGGGCCGTGCTGGCCTATGACGAGAACACAATAATCACGGGTATGCTAGCTTCATGCCGCCCTAACAAGTCTGACATGCTAACATCACCGCAGGGTGCGCTGACAAAATGATTCGGATGTTCAATACCTCGGGAACCCTACTTGGAAGCGTACAGAACTCCAACGATGTCGTCCGGGCCTTGTGCAAGCTTCCTGCCTCGAACCCTACAGGGGCTCACTTTGCCTCGGCCAGCAATGATGGAATCATTCGTCTTTACACACTGCAGGGTCAACTTGTCGCCTCTCTGCATGGTCATGAAAGCTTTATCTACTCCCTTGCTGCGCTCCCGTCTGGCGAGCTGGTGAGCTCCAGTGAAGATCGCACCGTGAAGATTTGGAACGGGACCCAATGTGTGCAGACAATAACCCATCCCGCAATCTCAGTGTGGAGTGTCGCAGCTTGCAGTGAGACCGGTGATATCGTCACTGGTGCTAGCGACCGCATTGCTCGTGTTTTCAGCAGAAGCCCTGACCGTCATGCAGCCCCGGAGGCCATACATCAGTTTGACCAGGCCGTCAAGGAGTCGGCTATCCCAGAGCAGCAAGTGGGTAAGATTAATAAAGAGGAGCTACCTGGTCCGGAATTTTTGAAAGAAAAGTCCGGAACCAAGGAAGGTCAGGTCCAGATGATCCGAGAGCCTGGTGGTACCGTGAGCGCCCACACCTGGTCATCAGCAACACAGGAATGGATTGCCATCGGTATGGTAGTGGACTCGGCTGGAAGCAGTGGTCGGAAGACCGAATATCATGGTCAGGATTACGACTACGTCTTCGATGTTGACATAGAGGATGGAAAGCCTCCGCTGAAACTACCATACAATGCCTCGCAGAATCCATATGAGGCTGCCACCAAGTTTATTGGAGATAATGAACTCCCTATGACCTATCTGGACCAGGTTGCCAACTTTATCACTCAGAATACTCAAGGTGCCACTATTGGGCAGTCTCAGGAACCCGCAGGCTCTGATCCTTGGGGCTCAGACCGACGTTACCGTCCTGGAGACGCCGCAGCGGCTGAAGAGTCTCGGCCACCTGCCCCCGAGTCGCGCCCTAAGGTGCTCCCTCAGAAGATCTATCTCTCCATCCGCTCGGCAAACCTCAAAGTTATCACGAAGAAGCTTCAGGAATTGAACGCGCAACTCGTGTCTGATGGGTCAAAGGACGTGGCTTTGAGCCCCTCAGAGGTGGAAACGGTTGTCTCCTTGTGCGGCCAGCTCGAATCTTCCAAACAACTTCAACTTTCACCCGAGGTTGAATCTGGAGTGCCATTGATTCTGAAGATCGTTACAACCTGGCCTGCCGCCAATCGACTCCCCGGCCTAGATATTCTTCGTCTACTCGCGGCGGCTGCGCCATTTACAGCATCCGCTGAGTACAAAGACGAAAATGTCGTGTCGGGTGTGATATCCAGCGGTGTTTTTGAACCTCCTCTTAACGTCAACAATGCAATGCTCGCAATGCGGACATTTGCTAACCTATTCGAGACGACTGCCGGCCGTGATCTGGCCATGAGCTCATTTGATCAGATCCTGGCAGGAGTGAAGACTGCTTTGGCTAGCAGCGGACACTCACCGAACCGCAACCTTACAATCGCCATCACAACACTCTACATCAACTTTGCAGTTTATCTTACCTCCGAAGGTAGAGACCAATCTCCAGAATCCGCAGAACGAGGTCTGGTCCTCCTAGAGGAACTAACTCAGATCATTTCTGGAGAGAAGGACTCAGAGGCGGTTTACCGAGCACTAGTCGCGCTCGGCACACTGGTGACAGCGCTTGGAGAGGAGGTTAGGAGCGCTGCTACGGAGGTCTACGAGGTTAAAGGTGTTCTTGCGAGAGCCTCGGCCTCTGGTCCTGGAAAGGAGCCGCGCATCAAGGGCATTATTAGCGAGATCCGGGAGGCTCTCTAAGAGTGCGTGCTAATTTTTTTATTCGGTATGCACAGATTAGAGATGCATTCCTTCCTAACGACGACAACGCGATTCCCAACAAAGGCCATTCATATCCTCATCTTCCACTTCACGTAGATAAATCATAGATGTTCCCTTCTTTTTGAATCAACTACTCCTTTACAATCTCCCCTCCGTATCTACCCCAATCTCCAAAACCTGATCAACGCCCTGATACTTAGGCAAATCAAGCCCATACTTATCAGTAATGTTCTTCGTCAAAAACCTACCACCGATGAAATGTCTGCCCCGATAAAACGCCACGCACGGCTTGGGCGCAGACAGACTGATCAACGCATGCGGCATGAACTTCGCACCGGGTCCTTCCTTTGGCGGTCCGGTCTGGATATCCCATGAGCTGGGCGCATCGACACTCAGCACCTGGACGTTGGCGGACTCGATTTGCGAGACGATTTTGTCGAATGGATCACGCAATGGTCCGCCGAAGGAGAAGCCGAAGATGGCGTCGACTAGGAAGTCTGCCGTCTTCAGGGCTGGTTCGAAGTCGTCAACGAAGGGGACTGAGAGGTTATGCAGTTGGGTTTTGAGGCGCTGGCTTGGGTTAGATTTGCTTCTTTTTTTTTTTGGCTTCTACGGTCCTTCTGATTTGGGATTGCGTACTTCGTAAAGCTCCTTTTTGCCCTGCTTTGGGTAGTACAGCGACGGGGTGTAGCCAAATTGGGCTAGGTGGCGAGTTGCTACGAGACCATCTCCGCCTGGTGATTTGTTAGAGTGCTGTTGCTCGAATGGCAAGGTTGGAGTTGCTTCTCACCAT